ACTGCTGGACTGACTTAAGCTCTGATTTGCTCTGCGCAGGTGGGCAGCCTGGTTGTGCACGTGCCTAATGTGACCTAGAATAAGAGGCTACAAAAAGAAGCGTGACAGTACAAGGGTGGAAATAAATCTATTCACAAGGAAACGACGTGTAGTTGCTTTCAAATTATGCCCAAGTCACTTTGGGGCAGTGGGCACAGCAGCAAAGTATATTCTATTTCTGGAACCTTTTTTTACCTTTCAGTTACCAGTCCAGAGTTTCAGAAGGTGTAAAATTGGCTTAGTTCGTTCCTAAATCCTATCAAAATGCACAGCCTATACAACAGTGAGCATGAAATGCTGCTTCTTCCTGTAAAGTTTTACCCATTCTGGTAAAAAGAAAGTCTGAAGAACAACTCAAACTGTCACTAAAAAATGGTTGTTACGGGACACACCACACAATACAGCAACCACTAATTCTATAACATAGTTACACTCTTAAGAATTGCACATCTGCAGTTGGTGGTTTTAATTGTGCAACGCTCTTAAATACCTCCTCAGTCCCGTTTTTGCATCTGTCTCTGAAGATGGTATAAAATGATGCACAACTACAGAGCTGGCATTTTTAGGAGAGAAAGTATCAGCATGCCTTCTTCACACTATGAAGATTACCAATACCACTGCAATTCCTTTCCTCACATCTTCTATTAAGTTACCTTGACTATACAAGAGACTCACATTTGAGGAAACATTAGATTTAGCCTTTGTTAGCTCAGTAGAATTATCTTTGGTTTGCAGACTTCAGTGTAATCCCGGCTTCAATCTTCAAGAAGAAAATACTTCATTATTCAGACCAGGGACATCATTCTCTCTTCAATGTTTTTAAACCCCTTCAATGCATTTGTGTCTTGCAAGCATACACCTTGTTTTTTAATAGTAAAATTCAGGGATCAGTACTCAGAGCACATCCCCTCACCCCCGTGCTCTTATTCTCAATTAAATCTCCTAACTACAACCATTTCCTCACTTTTAACAACTGCAGATGTTCACTGGGAATTGTTCTGGTGGAACAATCCAAGTGCAGCATTTATTTTGCCTGCCCGATGAGTTTGGTGACTCTTCCTCAAGCATTTCCCTCATCAGTGCAGTATTTGACCAGAAATCCCATGGAATGCAACTGGTGCTTTCTGTTGTTATTTCTCTCCTGTATTTTGCCAATGAAAAATGGAGTTTATAAGCAAGAAGTGCACAAGCCCTTTAATTTAAACCTAGTCTTCATTCTTGAACACCTGACACTGCTTACACTTTACAGAAGCTTTTCCTAGATATGCCCTTCAGAAGTACTTTCAAAGGTGCCATGATCTCATTTAGAACACATTCAAGTTTTATTTGCAACTATTGCAATGACAAAGAATATAACAATGTAAACTTGTATTTAAAGTGACAACCCTTTCTAATAAACAAGGTCACACATTTGTGTGCAATTATTCCGGCTTTGGGCAATTTTCATAGGATGGAAATTTTCCTGCATGACAATTTGACACGTTTCAGAGCATTGCATTTTCATACTTCAGTACATAGGAACAGAAATACATCTGCTCCGACTTGCAGAAACATATATGAGTCTTCTGCAATACAGAAATATGACACTGCATCGCTTGTTTTATTGAGAGGAAATTGGGATTGGCTTCTGTCAAGTTACAAAATACCCCAACAGCCCTGATTCTCTCCTCCTTGAATTTATCCTCTTACTAGACTTGTTTGGTGCTTTTTGTTAGAACAGGAGTAGGAATAGAATCACTGTCTTGTTTTCAGCTCTGCAAAAAACCCACAAATCAACCCCAAAGAGATGCACACTATTACAAACAGCCATCAAATTTTCCAGTTTATTGATGGGAATTCAAAATTGATACAAAACATGCCCTCTTCTGCATGTCGTGTTTTACCCTTAAAATGTTTCCAATAGTGTCAGGCAGATTCAGAGTTACGAGTATACTTTGGCTTTCAGCATGTACCTTTTACAAAGGTATTACACAAAAGCCTCCAACTTATGTAAATACATGGTCCCAAAAATCGCCTTCAGACATTTTGTTTATCAAAAGACTCAGATCTTCTGCTGATCTGATGAAATAGAGGCTTAAAAATGTTTTAAGCCATTAGTAAGTATCCTGTGGCAGAATCAAGAAAGTTTATGATTTTCGTTATTAATCTTGGGCATAAAAAGGCAACAGTCCTAAAAAAAGCAGCCCTCCAGAATACATGAAGTGTGGCAATGGGTATGATGCCAATTTATGATGATCAAGTTAAACAGATTTTTCAAGCTATGAATGATGTGAGCAGTATCACAGCAAAATATTTAATGAATGCCACCGAACCAATCAAGGTGTTGTTTCAATCAACAAGAGATCTGCAATGTCAAATATACCAAAAAAGTTTTCTAAAATAAATTCTTAATGCAGAAAAACTGATTTAAAGTTTGTTCCTAGCTAATAGTACCTCTTATTTAAATTGGACCCTAAACTGATCAGACAATACATAGCCCACACTTTTGGACATTTATAATAAAAAAGCTTTTATTTTCAATTGAAACAAATGCACCATCCTGCACTTGAAGGCTATAATGAGCCATAAGCATATTCCAAGGTGTATCAAGGGCAACGGATTTGTTTCACCTCCACTGAGAAGTTACATAATGCACTCTTAACTGGTAAAGAAAAATTAAACTCAGCCTTCTCAAAGCCTCTGCACTGTGTTTCTTGGTTATTGTACAGTCCCACAGTCAGACCAAGAGCTTGCAGTGTGTGCAGATGCTGTGGACAAATCAACAGTATTGTTTAATCGTCGTCTTCCTCCTCTTCCTCTTCCTCCTCAAAACTGTCTTCAAAGCCCTCACTGTCTTCCTGGTCCTCATCACCTTCTATTGCTGTATCCCACTGTGGATGATTTTCTGGCACCGGTTTTGCTTCATGAACTTCCAGCTGTAAGAGGATAAAGATAAAAGAAAGACACGACAGGAGAAAAGGGTTACAGAAAATACACACCAATTTGGGGGATGGGGGAAGGCAGAAGCACCCACAAATTAAACCACAACAACCCCAACAAAATTTACAGTTAAAAAAAAACCAAACCAAACCAACAACTGCTTCCAGAAAAGGCATGCCACATTTTTCTCATTGCCTCGAGGCATCTAGGACTAAGGGCAGGGAAACAGCATGGCAGATCTCAAGGTATAAAGCCAGAGCACCCATCATACTGCAAAAGTTGACTAAATGTGAGAAAATGTGTATGAAGGCACTGGAAAGCATCACAAATTTTAGTCCCATTTAAACCATCAAAAACCATCATAAAATTGCTACTACTGGCATTAGGCAGAAATCACTCGGAAGTCCCTCCTTGCCACTGTTTTAAAATTAGGACATCTTGAAAGGTAACAGGAGTTTGGGCGTTTTAATAGTCGTATGAAGTAGCTTCCAATGTCACACAAACATATAACACAATTAAAATTAACCTTCAATGGTTTGATCTGGTCCAATCCCATATATGAATCCGATCTTAAATAAACTGTGTACTGATAGTTTCCGGGCTTGCCTGGTGCTGGGAACTTCAGCTCTACCTACAAAACAGAATTTGTATGTACTTACTGCTTTCGAGCAACACATTAGAACAAGCAACTGGGCACTCTAATAGGCAAGAAATACTACTGCATAATAGGTTTTCCTTGAAAAAGTTTAGTTTCTTACAAGCCACACTTCTTTGAAAATCTCTACATAATAAAGACACCAGCAGAAAAGAGACAGGATACTCAAGCACAATACCTTCCATGAAAGTTGAACAGTCATCAAGTTGTATTTCTTTCCTGAATTAGACCATGTAACTCTACATTATGTATGCAATTCTCCCTGTTGGATGCATTCTGCATCTCAAAACCCAAACAGGCTGAAATATTTAGTCCACTGAAAGTATTAGCTTAACTCTACTGTTACTTGGAATTGAACATGAAAGCTAGTTTGAAAACGAAATACATGAAATCTCCATTTTTCAGAAAAGCAACAGAACTCAGCCAAAAGTTACAGTCTCAGAAAAGTTCATATGAGCAGACACTAATTAATTTGTCACAGCCTCTGCTTTATAGAAAAAGAACACTTAGTATTTCTCACATATTTGAATAACTTTCTTAAAGAATTATCATTGTGTACAAATACTGGCTTCCATTAGCTTTTGATATTAGGGGAAAAATGTTTTAGTAAAACTTGAAAGTTGTCTTACATTAATTTTTCCTTTCTCCATTATCATTTTTTAATTATAAGGCTCTTCTCTACTTTTAGCAGGAGAGTAAAATTTGTTTTCCAACTTAAGTGCTAAGTACAAAAAAATTAAAATCTAGATGTATTTCCATACCACAAGACACTTCAGTACAATAATATCCCAAAAGAAAATTCTTCAAATACTTTACCTCCTCTTTATCTTTTAGTGTACAAACATGATATGGCATACATATTAGCATCTGCTCCTTCCGATCTGCAATATATAGCCACCACCATTCTTGTTTTTCCTTCCGTAAATGAAACAAACAAACAAACAAAACTGGGATTATTGAAGTCATATAAAACACCATCACAGGTAATTATGTCCACTGAGGATTAACAAGCATTTTCATGCAATATAACACTATCTTAGGTCCTTCAAGAGAAATCCAGACTGGATAAAAAGATCAGCATATAAAACAAGGCATGCCAAAAGCCAAGCTCTTTTCCCAGTAAATAATCTTTTTCAGGAAAGTATGCTCTGCCCCACTTCTCTCTCTCTCCAAAAAGTGGGAATCTGCTAAAAGTTGTAATTTGGACATACCGAGATTTTACTTCAAGGAAGTACAAACCACAGGCAATATCAATTTTTGCAAAGGATACTCAGCAACTGCTACCTATCACACATAGTCTTCACATTTCAAGAGCTACATGTCTCAAAGGTCTTGCCACTGTAGGCAGTAAACCACAGTCCCTAAATTAAGTGAAATTAAATGAGTGCAGTCCTTCATAGAAGACAGCAACACTGTACAAAAATAATAGCTTGTCCCTCAGCTGGAAGCAGATTTTTAAGACTGTGGTGCAGTTCAGCAGCACAGACAAAATCATTCTCAAACGGCAAAGACTAAAGCTCTTCAGCATCAACTGCTCTTCATTTTACCACTATTCCTTTTTGGTTAGCTCTGGCACACATTTTGGGTAAAATCCACTTTGTTTTAATAGAAGCTGAAACTTTTCTATTGCAAAGAACTTAGTTTAGTACTGAACAGTAATTTTCTGCTCCTTCACCTCCTTGAGCCTTTCTTTTCTTTAAAAAGGTGAAAATAGTGGTGAGGGAGAGGGGAAGACACCTTATTTATGAAGAGGTATTTCAGTAGGTTGGTAATAGTCAGAATAATATAATCTTACCCTTACAAGAATTAAAAATAAATGAGAGGAAACTCCACACCTTTTAGATAATCCAAATGCTGGACTGCATTCCAAAACAGTTTTACCCACTCCTGATGGTCTGGTAACTGGTCACATTTATTACAGACTGGAGCCCTAACACACGCATCTATCTAATGGCAGCTACAGGTCAAGCTCCAAACCAGGAGGCCAATCTTAAATATTCACACCTACAACATTCAGGTAAGTTGCTTTAGTGCGACATGAAGCGGTCGTTGTTTTGTTTCGTTTTTAACCTAACTATATTTGCAGGACTGAATGAAAGGATTCAGTGGACTTCAACACCACCACTGAGCCCCTTCCAAATTCCACAGGTGGGAAGTAAATTCTGTTAATATGTAGAATTTGAAGAATTTGTCTCTACTGAAAGAGTTAAAAGTTCAGGTAGCTTCAGTGTTCTGTTGTGGGTTTGTTTTGTGGATTTTTTTAAAACGCTTCAGAAGCCAATGTTTGGTGAACTGAAATATAAATAATGCAGTTTGAAAAATTGCAAAAGCTAAATTAACTCCTCTTCTCTTTTGAAGTGACTAATTGTTATGCTAGTAATAATTATCACCATCCCACTGAAATATTCAAGTAACAAACTATAGATTTAGAACAGTAAGATACTCGCATCAGCAACCAAAACACACTGATTAGCACTGCTGAGTCCCTGGAGCAGTGTAAAATTAACTCAATATGGTAATGACCATTTTACAGTGTACAAAAGTAAAAGCACTGCATTCTTTCATGCATTTAGAAGGCACTGAGAACAGGACAAAAACCTGTTCATGTATTTAAGACCAGAATTTCTAGAATTAGAAGAAGCCCTTTTTACAACTATTCCAAGTGATTTTCTTGAAAAAACCATCCTCTGCGATTACAAGGCATAAGTTATTTTATCTGTAAGTTTCAACAATAAATATATTTTCAATCTGGTTGACAGCTGTAGCAAAGAAGAATCTTATGCAGTTGAAGTGTTTATTTCCTAGCCAAGGGGCCTCTGGGAGTAGAAGGATAAACAGTACAGATGAACAAGAACTACAGAAGCTAGATCCGTGACAGAAATGGCTACTTGCCATTTTGGGCCTATAAAGACTGAGCATTGAAGAGAGGATCTGCACTTGTATCAATATTTTATTTTTGACATTACCAAAAAGGGGTGCTGACTTACTATATAATTTGCATGCTTCCATCACTCTCATTGGCATATTTTATTTGGTTTTTTAGAACAAAGATCAAAAGTGTCAACTGCATTTTCACAAAATCTGGTAAAAAACACTCAAACAAACTGGCAATGCAGGAAAGAAATAACCAGAATAAACGACATCCATTAATTTAACGCCGAAGCAATCTACAGAGTGAACTCTTTGGAAGTAAAGCTGCTGACCCCAAAGTGCCACTGCTTTTATAAGGAAAGGACAACTGTGCAGGAGTGTCATCTTCCCCTCTCTTACTGTGTGGAATTTAGAAGTTTATGCCTCTGAGAATCTGGCAAGCTAACAGGCAAGCAGGCAAAAATGCCCTTTAACAGATGGGTGCAAGGTTTGGCATGCCAGGGAACCAGTATGTTCATGAAATTGGAACACCAGGGCCAGTTTCTACCTAAAAATGTCAAAACTACAATCTGTGCAATTTCTGGATCCATGGATGCAGGAGCAGAAGATAATTATTTAGGAACCTGCATAGATTAAAGCTGCATCTCTGGCAGAGCAATCAACTGCCCAAACACTCAGATGAAATAGTGTTACCTCCTGAAAACTACTATATTAGGCTCACCTACACTCAAACATCCTTAAATTCTGGAAACAGAGAGATTCACACAACTATGGCATTTCATCCTCAAGCCCACATGTCCAAACTGGCCATGACCACAACACACAATACTCTAAATCACAAAATGCCCAGGGAAGACAATGGATTTTGTTCTTCAGATGTTGCAAATCAACTCTATCTGAACATGCTCCAGCTGCAGCTACAGCACTAAGTACAGCTACACTCAACTTTTACAAAATCAGGGAAGAGAGGTTGGAAAATTTACAGCTGCAGTACTAAGAGATAATACATGTGTATCTTGCAAGTTCAAGCATTCAGTTCAGCCCTACATTTTTATTAAACATATTACTGCATTTAGGTTTTATCATAAAACCCATCAGCAGCTTGGTTACACACAGCTGAAGCTTAAGCAGCTTGGTACAGAGTCGGTGTAAGTGAAGTTTCCAAAGGAACCTTCAGTGTAGTAAAAAAAAAAAAAATAAAATAGTTAGCACCCCTGTGGCACTGGGCATAGCACATACTCAATGTTTGAACTTAGACTGATGATCAAAAGCCAGCTGCCTTCACAGCAAGGACGTATTAGGACTCTGCTGCACATTTAAGATAACCTAAGGCAGCCAGAAGAGCAGAATGCCAGTAATGCCTTTTTCTATTATGCTGGTGTACTGCTGGAAGCACTACTGAGAGATGGGAGGGTACCTAACAGTGTCAGGAAAATATAGCATTAGGATGAGCCATTACAAAACTAGATGTCATGAGGCCACACAACTCTCCGCTAAGGCCTTCATGAAAACATTTTCTTCGGTTCATTTTTGTATCTTGTCCTGCTCCTTAGCAACAGGTCTTGTTTCTCACGCTTTGCTTTCTAATGATGGCAGAACTAGGTAGAAACAGCAGGAACAGTATCATTAGAAGCATGGGGACAACAGAGTGTGTTTTGCACAGGAAAGAAGCTGTATAAACGTAAAGAGCCTTGGGGACTGAAAAGAGGGAGTAAATACACACAGTATCTTCCATTTCTCTCACGTTTTCCTGTTCTCCATCTCAGCTGTCTCTTTTAAACCACAAAATGAAGCAGAAGCCTTGCATCCTGCCTCCCTGTTACTGGAGATAGCACGAGAGAGAAAGGATCCTAGAACTACAGATTCCAGATCAGTTCCCTAGTCAGACAGCAGGGAAGCAAAGGAAACCCTCTGAACCACTGGCCTGGAAAGAAAGTATAGTCAAATACTCCTTGTCCTGATTCCAATCTGGTCATCTCCCAAAGACCTAACTTACTTGCTCAGAATGCAAAACCCACGATTTCATTGCCATAATGGTTTTTTAGACACCTGTTGACTGGTTAGCTGTTCATGTAGGTAAAAACTGATACACTGGAATGTGCTTTCAATACCAAAGGCTGCTGCAGAGGCACCTCAGCCTACCCACTATACTGCGTCGCCACTCTCAAATACATCCCTTCCTCCGACGCCCATCCACACATGATCTTGTATTTTTGAGCTCTATACGAAAGATTGTTCCACAAGTGGCTTCCACCACTTCCAGACTACATTGTGGAAGAAAGACACAGATTTGCCCGCCCTCTCCATCTTCCACAGTGTACTCAGTTCGGCCAAGATGGAGTTAATTTTCCCCACAGCAGCTCTTAGAGTGCTCTGCTTTGCAGTGGTAGCTAGAAGGGTGTTTGATAACACATAAGTGTTTGGCTACACTCAGCAGTGCTTGCACAGCACCAAGGCTGTCTTTCCATCATTCCCCCCTCCTCAGTAGGCTGGGGGTGGGAAGATCTTGGGAGGAGACACAGCCAGGACATTGACCCAGACTGACAAAAGGCATATTCCATACCATAAGAAGTCAGCTCAGCTATAAAAGCTAAGAGAAAGAAGGGGGAGTGTTCGTTATTTGTGTTTGTCTTCTGGAGCAACCACCACATGTACCAAAGCCCTCCTTCCTGTGAAATGGCCAGACATTGCCTGCTGATGAGAAGTAGAGAGTAATCTTCTGGTTTGCCATTGCTTCTGCGTGCAGCCTTTGCTTTTGCTTTATTAAGCTTTCCTTATCTTTACCCACAAGCCTCTTGTATTTTTCCTCTACCCTATCTCCACGGGGAGAGACAGAGCAGCTCCAGTGGGCACCAGGCCTCCAGCCAAGGCCAAACCACTGCACAAAACAGCCCGCCTGTGTTGCCACCGTGCTCTTGTGCTGAGACTTCAAGTCAAGCGGCAAAGCCAAAACAATCTGCTGATGAAAAAGGCTCCCAAACTCTCCTGCCACTACTGTCAATATAGGAGGTGTCTGGACCTTCCCAGCTTACAGGTGCCTTCAGGTAAGATAAAGAGCAAGTAATATTCTATCCCTAAGTCTATACTTGATCCACTGCTGCGCTTTCGCTTTCCATGGGGAGGGAAGAGAAGGGCTATAAATTACAGCCCTATATATCTGAAAGGTTTCATTCTGAATCTATCTATATGTAGCAGATCAGCAGAAATAAAAACACGTTAGCATTACTGCCATCAAAAAGGAATGTTAAATTCTACACAAGTTTGCAAGTCTCTGGGAACTGGAGAGAAAGAATAATACATTAAAAGTTTTTAGGAAAGTATCTGAAGGAGTTTAAGAGGACTTTGTAAATTAAGACTTTTTAAAATGAGCAATTTTTCAAGTATTAGACTTTTTTAAAAGGTCCAGTATTTACAATAAAAATATAAACAGAACAATTTGTTTGTTTGTAGTAATTCTCATGTTTCACAACTGCCAGGTTTTTTATCACTGACCTCAGGAAAAAAAAGACTGTAAACCGGATGTGTTATCTTTGACTTCGTTTCAAGAAGGGCTCGTTCTTTTCTCTGTATACTTTGCTGTAATTCTTGCCACTCCTGTGAAAGACAAGTTTAAAGAGTTACTGTGCACTAGGCATCTTTTTGCATTAAAAAAAAAAAAAATTTAGCCCATGGAAATTATATATATGGGAAGTTATTGTGCTACATTAGAAAAGGGAAAGGCACACAGGGATCAAATTATACAGTACACTTAAAAGCAACAAATTAATAAATAAATAAAACAGTAAAACTAAAGACCAATATTTTAAAAAAATCCCAGAACATCCAAAACACGGATCTGTGGTGCTTGCACACATTCTTCAAAACTCGCTTCTACATTATTGCCTATAAACACTCACTACCTGAGCTGTAAGAGTCCTGATTACAAGCTTGATGATTCTTTTCCCATCAGAAGCTTATTCTCACCCTGTACAGGACTTTCAGCCGTAACTCTCAAGTCTTCTACTGTAAGACCTGTGGTGCAGAGATCGTCTACCACCACAGTGCCTCATTCTCAATTACAATTACAGTTGTGAACAACTAAATTATTTACATTAACTAGAATTTAGTAAGCACATGTATATTCAACTACTGTATGCTTGTAGTATGCAGTATGCAACAGCCACTGCATGTAAAGAACAAAGTTCAAAGGAAAGACTTCCATCTCGCAAAATCTGCAGCAGCTAGTAATCAAATTAAGCTGAAAGAAACATTAAGATCTTCCTCTGAAGTTAAATTGCCTTTTTTCGTCATGTAATTTTTAAGTTTTCTATCTATGCTACAAAGACTTTTCACTGCTCTCTCTCAGACAGACTTGCAATGACAAAAATCTTACGCTGGAATGAAGTCTGAAAACCTCTGGAGAACTGATATTACTCCTTCATCCTACTGTTGCCTTGCCTGAGGGGATGCTAGAGGATTAAAATGCATTTTCTCTCAACCCCACAGGCAACATTACCCTTCAAGAAAAACTAAGGCTTACAGCTTCATCATCTTTGTTTTGCTTCTCATCTTGTTCTCTGTCAGAGTCTCTGTCACTTCCATCGTCTTTTTCACTTTGCGAGTCCCTGTTTGTTTCCTCTTCTTCAGATTCACTTCCTTTATCAGAGATTTCCTCCTCCTCTTCCTTCGCAACTACATCCTAATGGGGAAAAAAAAAAAAACACCAAAACAAAAAAAAAAAACTCTAACTTAGTTTGTCTGTATTACTGTAGTACAGAGCACCTGTCTTCAGGTCACAGCCCTTATTTCCTATTTCGATCTATATCCCTGTGTCACAGAGTATGCCTACAGTGAAGATTAATCCATTTCACTTCCAGTGCTAAGAGGAGCAGGGAAGCAATTTTTCTTCTCCATACAGCACCCACACCATGAACAGGAGAAAACAGGATTTGATTCTGCGGCTGTATTTCAAAAAAGTCCTAAGAATATTAGATAGAACATAAGAAAGCACCTACAACAGAGCCCATGAGTGGAGAAAACACCATGCAGTGGGAGCATAAAGGTACTAAAGCTACGTAATTTATCAGAAGAAAGTCTCATTTCAGTTTTTTCCTTTAAAGGAAAAGTAAAAGGTATAGAGCAATTCCCTGCCCGGAAGGCGGCACAACAAGAACTAGCAAGAAGGGACTATGAAGCCAGACTTCTAAAGTAGTTTTTTCAGCAAGTCACTGAAAAATATATCTGTGATGGTACCCTGATTATTTTACAACCAGTATTTTTTTTTAAAAATAAATATAT